TATATATTTTTTAATAATTAATTAATTTTTATTATTATTATTATTATTATTATTATTATTATTATTATTATTATTATTATTATTATTATTATTATCACTATATTTATTATTATTATTATACAATTGTATCACAGCGGCCAGTTGTTTCGCCGGATTTGGCATTGGTTACTAGTCGGGCCCCATCCAGGGGCCTAATAATAATAATAATAATAATAATAATAATAATAATAATAATAATAATAATAATAATAATAATAATAATTTATTAATAATATTTATTATTAATAATATTTATTATAATCAATAATTATTTAATAATTATTAATTATTATCCTAGGCCCCTGGGTGTGGCCCGACTAGTAACCAATGCCAAATCCGGCGAAACAACTGGCCGCTGTGATACAATTGTATAATAATAATAATAATTTTATTTCACATAATTTTAATTTAATAATTAATTCATGTAAAAATCCGACTCTATTAATGCCTTTTATGTACGCCTGGCAAATGCTTCCTGAATATGTTTCCTACTGACTGCCAGCAAAGATATTAAGAAAATAATAATACAAAATGATAGCTTGTCTTTTTTTTTCAGGGGAAAATTTACTTATTTACTTATTTAATTTAAAAATCTGATTGCCACTCGTCTTAGAACCATAATTTTGGGTGTCTCACAACAATGATATAAAACCAATATTATACAAAAATGAAACAACCCACCTCCCAATAAAAACAGAAAGAAAGAAACTTGTTGCCATAACTAAACTTCCTAGGTGCAACCCTCCACACTATTTTCTAACTCTCACTTAACAATCTACAATGAAAGCCTTGGTATACACTTCTAAATATCTACCATGATAAAATACTTCTCTGTCTATTCTGCTCTAATAATTAAATAGTAAATTCATACAATACTATTTTTTTCCTATTTATTTTCAGTATAGAGGTAAAATGTACCTTTTGTCATGAATTCAGTGACAATGTAGATAGGCTCCTCCGAAACTACAGCATAAAGTGGAACAAGTTTATCATGCCTTAATTTCTTCATGATCTGAGCTTCTTGTAGGAAAGCTTCTGGCATCATTGTACCAGGTTTTAGAGTTTTGATTGCAACTTTTGTTGTTCCGTTCCATGTTCCTATGTAATAAATGCATGATATTATCGTTTACACTACAAAGATTTTCAGTGTAACATAAATGTTGCAGCAGGGTCAGTATTTGTAAAATAATCCATTTAAAAAAATGTTGAACAGGTTAAAAACAATTTGTGCCTTTAGTCTATTGTTTATAAATGATTTAAAGTGATTCTCTAATTCTTAGGCAGATGTTTTCCATTTCAGCAATCTAAAATCTTTTTTTAAAATCAGGAGATATTAAGGCACAGAACACTTGGATTTAATGATAAGAGTTACGGTTCTCCCATGTAACACTTACCCATCCAAACTTCACCAAAGCACCCTTGGCCCAGCTTAACTTCTAGCCGTAAGGATTCTCTAGGGATTTCCCAGGCGTCCTTTGCTAAGCCCTGTGTCTGAGGTTTCACAGTTGGACACACAGTTGTTAATTTGTGACACAGGCCGTCAGCATGATCTAGCAATCAGAGAAATATTTCTTATATAGTCATGTATTTTAAAGTATACCCTTCTCACAAATATATTCATTGGGATATAATTTACTTCTACGATCAGCTATAGTTTTTAGAACCTACCTGTATAGTGTTTGACCAGCTTTTGTAAAGATTCAAATTGTGCTCTTGTTGTTATATAATATCCACCATTGTCAAGTTTTCTAATTTTATAGTGTTTCACATTATCACCTCTAATCTCATCCCAATCACGTATAGAAAGGGAATAAGCACCTGAAAAAATAATTTAATATTTGATTCTGTAAACACATTTATAAAAAAATTACAAATTCATTATAATTTAATTTATTCAGTAATAAAGTTAAAGATAGATACCTTTTGTAGTTTCACTCTCTCGTACTAAAAAGATACCACGTTGATTCCCAGGATTTAAAAGCAATCTTTCTGCATCTTTCCTGCCCATTTTACCAAAATACCATCTAAAAAGTTGAAAGATAAATATGTTCAAGAAAAGATTTAGTTGCAATATTTGATTAACATAGCAACGGTATTAAATTGCAAAGATGAGACCGTGGAGCATTCATTATAACAGGAGCTTTCCATCTAATTCCATCTTTGTACTTTTAAAATAGATGAGAAACCAAAGTTGCTTCTAAATGTGATATGATCACACAGATTCTTCTACAGGGAAGATACGATCTAGTACTTTTATTCAAAAAACAAAACAAGACCATGTCTCATCTATTCCATTCAAGATTCAGTAACAAACTAGTTTTAAATAGTACATGGAGAGTTCCAAGAGCAGATAGCCCAAAACACTGTTTTAAAATTTTGAAGAAAAACAAGACAAGTCAGTTGGACTAAAGCAACTACAGGTGAAACCAGAAAGTATTGTTTTGTCATTTTGTTGTTCCTGTATGCTTTCTGCTTTAAATGTGGTTTTGTTAATTTTTTAAAAATTACCAAACACGCCAAGCATTGAGTCAGTGGAAGTACTATATTGCATTTGAGTGACAATAATGCCATATAAACAAGCAATAAAATGAAGCTGCATACTTGAACCTGCTGAGTTACAAAGGAGATATTATTTATTTATTTCCTTTATTATTTTTATAAATAATTCAAGGCAGAAAACATACCCAACATAACTTTCTTCTATTTTCCCCACAACAACAACTCTGTCAGGTGGGTTGCACTGAGGGGCGGGAGTGATTAGCCCAAGGTCTCCAAGATGGCTTTCATAGCTAAGGCAGGACTTGAACTCATGGTCTGTTGCTTTCTAGCCTGGTAATCGCAAAGTTTATAAGCAATTCTAGGTCAAGGGAACCGTAACAATTTGCTTAGAAATTCCATGTACTTCTAAGCTCAGAAACTAGCCAGAAGATTTAAGGAAGCAGCTTGTGGCAATATTAAGGACTAACTAGCAGCTAAACTTTGCAAAAAGTATACCAAGTTTTAAAGGTTGTACATCTTACACACACCAATACAGATTTGGAATGGTTCCAACAGAAAACTGTTCCATCAGAATATATGGTGAAGTCTCTATTATGAGGAGGTGATATATATGTCAATATATTTTTCTTATTAAATAAGAATGAGAAATTTTGTGACTATTTGCAGATCTGTTATGTAGGTAAGGAGAATTAATTAGGTTTATTTATTTTTTTCAGCATCCAACGAGCGTGGATTTTTTTAATGTTTAATGTTGTATGTCTGGGTCTTTCTTTGCTTTTCTTTTTCGTACGCAGTTTTTTTGTTATTGTTACTGTTGGGTGTATGTTTTCAACACATGTGAATTGATTTATTAATTCTAAAAATAATCTAAACGTACATTTTAAGAAAGTCAGTCTATATAAAATATAAGATATTAATTTTGTTTATTCATGTAAGTGCTGTAATCGAAGACCTCTTGCATTTAATAATTCTTTTGAATAGACTTATTAAATTATACTGAATGCTACTGAATAATTAGAGATAAAAATGATTAAAGACATTATAAAGTCTTACTCTTCTGCTTGAATGGAATCTGCCGGAGCCACATAATTGCTAGGAATGTAGCCACTCTTTCCTGTTGCAATAGATCTTGCTTCCCACCAGTCTCCTTCCCTAAGGGGAAGGAAGGACAGGAAAAAATGTAATTACAACTGAATAAATATGAACAACAATAATAAAATTATTTTCAATTATGAAATACTGTGAACTGATACATCACCACCATCATCTTAACTTAAGATGTCTGTTTACATCAGTGGTAATCAACCTGGTCCATACTGCCCACTAGTGGGCGTTCCAGCTTTCATGGTGGGTGGTATGGGTTTTGTCCAATACTGAAGCACTTTTATTTTTTTTAATTTAATTGACTTTAAAAAAAAAAATTCATAGCATTATTTAAAAATTTTCATTAGGTTTTCAGAAAATCACCATTACTATGGAACCGGTGGGTGATTAGAAAATTTTACTACTAACAGAGATACAAAAGTGGGCGGTAGGTATAAAAAGGTTGATTACCCTTGGTTTACATCTATGAAATAGCACATCAGTTAGACCTTAATAGAATTGTTCATTGTCCTATGTAGGGAAATACCATACAATAGGAAAAATCAGGGGTGGTCTGCTACGGGAGAACCTGTAGCTAATGTTATGGCTGGTTTGGAGAATCTCCAAATCCCACCCCTGGCTGGCTCCTCCCATCCTGTGCCTCTCCTCCCAGGAGTCTCCATGTGGTCCATTTTGGATGCGAGGTAAGTACACGGCCTGTGCGGAAGCTGGGGTGTATGTGAAAACGGGCCTCCCAGAAGTTCTGGAAGACTGCAAATGGACCCATTTCTGGCCTCCGGAGTGCTTCTGGAGCCCAGGGTATGAAGTCTTTGCTTTCCCAGAGACTCGAGGAAAGCCTCTGGAGCCTGGGGAAGGCAAAAAATCCCCCCCTCTGCTGTGGTGCAGGAGGATGAATAGGCCACCCCCACCATTGACATGCCCACCGAGCACCCAGGCAAAGAACCAGTTGCTGAAATTTTTGAAGCCCACCTCTGGGAAGAACGGTTTGTTTTCTTTCTCTAGTAAACATGTGATAAATAAAAAACAGAATAACAGAGTTGGAAGAGACCTCAGAGATCTTGCTCAAGCAAATGGTTTTCCAATCTCTTCTTTAAAACTCCAGTGTTGGAGCACCCACAACTTCTGGAGACAAATTTCCCCTTAGTTCTAGGTTGCGTCTCTCCTTGATTAGTTTCCACCCATTGATTCTTGTCCTGTCCTCAGGTGCCTTGGAGAATAGATTGATCTTTGTGGCAACCACTGAGATATCAGAACACTGCTAATTTGTCATGCCTCGTTCCTTCTTTTCATTAAACTAGACATACCCAATTCCTGCAACCATTCTTCATAAGTTTTAATCTCCAGTCCCCTAATCATCTTTGTTGCTCTCCTCTGCCCTCTTTCTAGAGTTTCAACATCTTTTTCAAATCATGGTGACCAAAATAAACAGATGGATTTAAAAAAAATCTCAAAACTTCTAATCTGTCTCAAATATTATTATTGTCAACAAAAAATGGGCATTTTACAGAAGAATAACTGAAAAAACAAAATTCTCTTAATGAGACAAAAAACGATCATATTCAGAGAATATGATTTTAATATACTAGAATCTCTCTGCTACTAAAAATGTTATTAATTAATTAAATATACTTTTGAAAGTGCCTTACTGAAAATTGCCATATAAAAGGAACATTAAGGTCTATTATTTTGTGTGCTTGTTTCATCCTAATGCAGTGCATGCAATTAAAGTCTTGCTTTCTGTGTCTCTCCTTTATGCAGGTTATTGGAACAAGGTGGTGAGGTGGTGGTGCAGAAGACCAGCAAGGCAGTAATCTTCCCTTTGTAAGTAGCTGTCTTTATTGTTTTGTGTGCTGGTTTCATCCCAATGCAATGCATGCAATGAAAGAGTTCATTTCTGTGTCTCTTCTTTGTGCAGCCCATTCGTTGGAGTCCTCAGTGATACTGAAGACTGGCAAGAACAGTCATCTTTTTTCTGTAAGTAGCTCTTTCATTGTTTTTATACTTATTTTAATCTTACTGTAGTTCATCCATTGGGGCAAATAATTCAGTGACATTGTCTTGGCCACTCCCACCCAGTCACATGATTGTCAAGCCACTCCAACCCAGTCACATGGCCGGCAAGCCACTCCTACCCAGTCACATGGCCATCAAGCTCCCACCAAGCAGGCCACACCAACAGAGTAGGTTCCAAAATTTTTTGAAACCCACCACTGATGTACAGGTAGCCTTGACTTATAATTATTTGTTTAGTTAGAAGTTACAACAGCACTGAGAAAAGGGGCTTATGATCATTTTTCACACTTATGATCGTTGCAGTACCCCTAGGGTAATGTCATCAGAATTTTGACACTTGACAACTGCCATGTATTTATTATGGTTGAAGTGTCCTGGGGTCATGTGACCACCTTTTTGAGACCTTCTGACAAGTAAAGTAATGGGGAAACCAGTTTCACTTAACAACTGCGTTACTACCTTAACAACTGCAGCTATTCCCTTAACAACTGTGGCAAGAAAGGTGGGCCAAAACCCACTTAACAACTGTTAATTTAGGGCTCAACTGTGGTCACATGTTGAGATCTATCTGTATGTACCTATCTTAGAAATAAAGATAAAAGCAATATTATATTAAAGGCATGTAGTGTAATCCAATTTACCTTTATAACTTCCAGAATGATCTGTTCTGTAGAAAGCAAAGAAGTAAAGAAGATGACTTTGATAGAGATATGCAAACTCTTTTGCCAAAAGAGTAAAACATTTTTAAAGGTCACAATGTCAAGATAGCAGCTCATATAGACACTTCCCTAATTCACTGAGTTATAAGAAGATAGAGGAGATACAACACAATCAGACTTGTAAGATTGATATCAGCCATACTAGGTATATGAGATCAAAAAAATTAACTCCACTAGAGTTTTATTGAGATTGGCTAGAATAATAATAGAACCTTGCAAGTCCGATTATGTTGTATCTCCTCCTCCTCCTTATAAGATCATTTTTCTTACTCTCTTATTCTCTGAAGGCTTTTCCCTATCAGCAACAATACTATTAGCATATCTGGAGGAATGTGAATGGGTAATAGTGTGTAATTAATAGCAATAGCACTTAAGACTTATATACCACTTCACAGTGCTGTTAAAGCCCTCTCCAAGCAGTTTATAGAGTCAGCATATTGTCCCCAACAATCTGGGTCCTCATTTTATCTGCCTCGGAAGAATGGAAAGCTGAGTCAACCTTGAGCCTGGTGAGATTTGAACTGTCAAACTGCTGGCAGCTGGCAATCAACAGAAGTAGCCTGCAGTATTGCATTCTAACCACTAAGCCACCATGCCTCTTATTAAGCAATTAAGTCCACAAGTTGGCAACAATACTTACGTATTATTGATTATCTGAAAGCGTTCGCCTTTCTTGAATGAAAGATCATCTCTAGTTCTTGCTTCATAATCGTACAAGGCCACAAAAACAGTAACACCCCCTAGGAAAACCCAAAAATATGGCATTAATACTTTTTCCTATATAAGGGAAATAGATACAAATCAGATTAAACATGTACTATACAAAAGCATTTCACTAATTTTATTTTGAAGAAAATAGATAAATATTCTTATTAAAAAATGAGAAATGTTTATAGCTTTAAAATAAAAACATCCCCTGAACTTATTCATTGATTTCATAATGAGCTAGTCTGCAGCCATACATTTGATTAAATATATTAATATTATTAAGAAAAATCTATTTAACATTTTCATGGTTAAAACAACTTCAAACTAGAAAAGTTGCTTTTCATGTTAAAGTTATGACACTACCTGTAGTTTTGTAGAACACATATGAATAGGATATTCAGATGTGTTCATATGCTTATCATAGGCGTTCCCAAATCCTATACATCAACCAGAAAGGTATGTAGCAGGTTTTTTTTTTTTTCAAATTTGGTAATTTTAAGATATGAAGATTTCAATTTCCAAAATTCTTCAGCCAGTATTCTGAGAAATGAAATCTACACATCTAAAAATTGCCAAAGTCTGAAAAACACTGGTCTAAAGTGAAGGTATATTAGTTATTAAACATAGCTACAATCCTCAATGGGATTGCAAATTCTAATTCAATACTAATGCATAAAGTGGCCATCAAATTCTGCAAATCTTTCTTGTTCTGGTTAAGAATGGAGAATCAAAGCCAGTACAAAATCCATTGTTTCCTTTTATCTCCATGTGCACCTTTCATTACTTTTTCCATAAATGTTAATATTTGCATAATGGATTCTTTTTTAAATACAGTTGACAGTTGCTCAGATTATTTTATGTCTAAAAATCCAATAAACAAATCTCTATTAAAAATGTGTAAGGTTTCCAGAATTAGCATTTATATTCAAACACTAAAATTCTTTCAAGCATTTGGGAGAAAACAGCAACATAAACTTCCACAAATATATCTTTGATATATTCTGGGTTTTGCCAATAGAGGCTCTGGAGAATGGTGAACTACCCGAAGCATTTGAAATGTATGTAGGGTCAACGGCACTATTTCTACTAACAAATCTTCTAGTAATAAATATTTGTTGCAACTATTTGTCATTTAGATTAGCGTGTGCGTAAGCATACACACACACCTCACATAAAAATATAAATAGGAATATTAACCCAACATAAAGGTACTGTGATATGATATGAACTTGATTCTAGGGCCAAAACAGAGTATTTTTTCCTACCTGAAGCTCCTACTGGATTTAACCTGATCATGGATTATTAACAGATTACTCTGTCAACTGAACTCATATAGTTTCACGAAGGAAACATTGTAAGAAACCACATAACTGAAAACTATGCAGACAATAAATAATTCCAGTATTATGTGCTTTTATTAATGTGCTAATGTATTACTATACTAGGCATATTAATATACATTACTGTTCATTAATTTCTCACACATATTTTACACTGTTAATTCTGTTAGCATTTTTCAAATTAAAGGAGGTCTACAAATGTTTAAATTAATGTATGAACTTGCATTTTACTGATTTATAAAGAATACCCAACATTTATATTGTATAAACTCAATAACTTCAGTGTCCAGGGGAAGAATGGTGGATTGAGGATGTTTTTGCAAAAGTTGAACCGACAACACATCAAACAACAAGAAACCAGTAGACTGGTTTCATGAAATCTTTCTAGTTATGTACCGGCCGATTGCCCACATGTGCTGTTCCTTGCTAGGAGATCAAAGGACAATGGTCTCACAGGTGTGGGCACTGGAGATGGTGGGAATAGCCATTTTGCTTGCAACCATGTTCAGCATCTTTTAATGGACACTGTATTTGCTAGCCTCACTTTCTAGTCACTTTTGGAAATTGCTTATTAACGTTAGAGACTTTTGAAAAGTGACCTATGTATTTTTTCCTTAATAAATTTACAAAAAATGTTGGCTAAAGAAGAACTCTGTATGATGGGATAAAGAAGAAATTGTAGAGAAATCAAATCCTATGACAATTGTATGAATGAACTAAAGATTAAAATTGTTAAGAGTAAAATTAAGGAATCTAAGTTGGTTTACTTTATCAAGGTTAAAAAAGTCCCATTGTTATTTCTGGCAATCCTTTGTGGATTTCTGCTAACACCAGGACTGAAAAGATATTTTATGGATTTGTCTAGAGATAAAGGAAGGGATTTGGGAGGAAGAGATAATTATCCTGTTTTTATGAACCTAAGACCTCCCCAGATAATAAGCCCAATTGGGCTTTTGAGCGCACACGCTAAAATAAGCCCTCCCCAAAAATAAGCCCTTCCTGAAAATATTGCAACACAGCATCAGATATGAGGTGACCACACTCACTGCCTCCTGCACCTCAAAAATATAAGACTTCCCTGAAAATAAGGCCAAGTACTTATTTCAGGGATCAAAAGAAAATAAGGCCCTGCCTTATTTTCGGGGAAACATGGTAGTTGTTGGCTTGGAGAGGATGAAGAATACAACATGTGTTTACACTTGTTGTGATGAAGATTGGAAATCATTTGAATTACTTTATAAGTAACTCAAAGCACTGAACATACATAATACTCCTTCCTCCTCTTAATTTCACCACAGCAACAAAGCTGTGAGGTGAATTGGCTGAGAGTGTGTGACTGGCCCAAAGTAACTAAGCCTAATGCAGGACTAGAACTTAAAGTCTCTTGGTTTCTAGGCCAGCATGTTAACCACTCCGCCACACTGGGTCTCAACGAGATGTACTGAAGAATTTGACATACTTTAGACAACATTAGTAAGGTGAAAGATTCTCAATACTTCCTCAGTAGTATGCTAAGTGACACTTCACCTGAGAAGCCCATCATCTGGCACTATAATCAACAACCTTGTCCACCCTTGTGATTTACTTGGAAAAAATAAAAGGAATAGTTTACTGCTGCTTTCTCAATACAATATAAATTGATCTTTTGCTCTAGTCACTAAAATGATCATCTACCTCGGGCATCTTCTTGTACTGTATTGCTGCTGTCCAATACACAGTATATTGCCTGCTTGCTTTTAGTTGGGTAGCTGGGATGATCTTCATGTCAAGGATGATCTTGCTAGGAGTATTTATGCTTGTTGTCTAGATCAGGGCATCCTTCATTCACCCCTCTCAGGAACTTTCCCATGGCCACAATGTACCAGCAAAGCAGCAAACCTGTGGGAGTATACTTCCACTAAGCCCCCTAACTGAAATGCTCACACATTTCCATCCCTAAGCCTGATGCAAAACTGGGTTCTGAATTATCAGAAATTCAATATACACTACAAACATTCCCATTTAGAATTTTTTTGGCTGAAATTAGACCAAGACATTCATATGGAAAGACTTAATTACCTAATTTGAATTTTACTTAAACCATTTTTAGTGGCTGGGTTTGTAAAGACCAAAACATTCACCGTATGTATTTTTTCTCTAAACACTTACATCGATTATAGATGATCATTTCTGTAAACAGGCTTCTTATTATTGCTACCATAGCACAATTCCAAACCAGCTATCGTAAGGTAGGTGTGTGTGTGCGTGTGTGTGTGTTAGTAGTAATAGTAGTGATGGTGGTGATATTGGGAAGTTTGCAGCAGCTTTTTGAAGCTTTGTAATTTAGTAATATGATTAATTTGAGGTGGATAGAGGTTTCTCAAATGAGAATGTAATTCCTTGAGCACAGATGGATATTCAGGTTTTACCAGAGGTGTCCATGAATTCAAGCCTGAAGTGGGCCAGAACACTGAGGTCCCTGCATTCTATTCCATGCTTGAGATTAGTTTACTGCATGCTGGAATGCTACCTTCATTATGACATAAATTATGATTATTAGGTGCCAAAATGTTTCAATTTCATATTCCCCACTCAGTAACTAGCAGGTTTAAATCACATCTTTATTTTTTTTGTAGTCTAGAAGTAGTGAAGCCAATCAATATTCCTATATTTTTCAGAAAAAAACCCAAATGTTTTCTTACACACATTTGTATAAAATAAATTAGCAACAGACTAAATGAAAGAATGGAACTCAAAATAAGGAAATGTCAAGATTATTGTTCATATTTTAAAAACTTTCTATGATTTTAAGGTGATGAATTTCATTTTCTAAATTATTGAAAATTATGTTGTTGGGTTATAAAATACAAACATGACAAAATAAAATGATAAAATATTCTAAACTTTTATTTACAAAAAAAGACTTGAGGTATTTTAAAGGGATGAACACTTGTTTTTGACTTTTCCATCCAAATGGAAAAATAGTTAATTCCTGTAGCACTTTGTAAAAATACTGATTAAAAATGCAATACCTGCTGGATATAACAGTGAGTGATAGCAAAACCTGCAGCCTTTCATCATAATACTTCTATGCCAAAGTTTTGTTGAGAAATTGCCACAACACGACATATTCATCCAATACTACCCTACCTTAACATTTAGTAGAGTGAATCGTATTTTGAATTGTATAGGACACTGAGGTAACTGAGGTTCTTTAGATGGTCAGGTGACCTTGTTTTTTCCTTATGATTAAAGGAATCATTGGGTCCATCTTAGTGGGGATTTGTATTAATAGAATCTACACCCAGACAGGGATGATATTCACAGAGGGTACTGTTCTGCAAAAAAATCTTTAAATTTGATGACTTTTCAAGTTTGCACCATTGGAAAACTTGTACATACATATATGAATTCATGGATGATCCTGAAGAATCTGTTACATGTAAATCAGCATCAGTCCTACATAAAACCTGGGAAGTTGATAAATGTACTAAAGAGAAGTCAACCATTAGTAAAACTGCTGGGACTGTTGCACAGAATGTTGTTTTGTACAATTTTATTCGCCGTATTTTTCGGAGTATAAGACGCACCTTCTTACCCCAAAAAAGAGAGTGAAAATCTGGGTGTGTCTTATACTCTGAATGTAACCACCTGGGCCGTCTGAAAAAGGGGCAGGCGAAGCGGGAGCTGCAGAGATCATGATGGCTGGAAAGGAGAGAGGTTTCGCTTTCAGGGCTCCCGCTCGGCTGGGCTCCCGGGAGGGCTTAGGAGGTGGCAGCAATGGGAACGATCTCCTTTTAATGAAAGCTTTTCTCAGAACGCTAGATTGAGAAGTTAAAAACCTGAAATGGGGTACAATCAAGCTTGATTCAAAGGTTTTGGCTCTGAGATCGATCCATCCAAAATGCTGGTACCACAATCTCTGCAGCGCCCACTTTACCTTCCCCTTCTCAGGCAGTTCCAGGCACCAGAGATCGCGGTAATAGCATTTCCAGGTGGCAGCGCACCGATCTCAGGAGCCAAAGCCTTTGAATCAAGCTTGATGTACCCCATTTCAGGTTTTTAACTTCCCAATCTAGCGTTCTGAGAAAAGCTTTCATAAAAAGGAGATCGTTCCTCTTCCCTTCCCTTCCTCCACTCCCCCAATCTCTCTGGATTCTCAGGAGCCAATCCTTTGAATCAAGCCTGATTGTACCTCATTTCAGGCTTTTAACTGCCCAATCTAGCATTCTCCACCCCCCATCCCAAATCTCTCCGGATCTGCTTATTGTTATTGCTGCTATTGCACCCAGCCACTGTATCTCTTTGCTGCATGACAGATCCCACGGATTGGGGTGGGGGTGGGGGTGGAGGCAGGGAAGGGAAACAATCTTATCTGAAGTCTTTTCTCAAGATGCTATATCTTCACTTTCTCTCCAGGAAAAGCTATTGGCATTGTTGGTATCTTGGCTAGAAGAAGTAGTGCAGGAAGGAAAGGAAACTTCGGAATGCAGAAGCACCAGGTCAGGAGTCTTCCTGCAGCCTGGGACCTGCTTTTGCCCTGAAACTAAGGAAGCAGGGTTGGCAAGAGGGCTGTGAACAAACCTGTTCAAGGAGACAGCCTTGCCGGGTTGTTTTCTTTGGGCTTCCCTTTTGCCACTCAGGTGCCACCACAAGAAACCATTAATCCAAATTGAAGGGATCCCCACCCCTTCTTGCCCAATTGGCCGTTCCTGGTCGAACGCAGCGGTGGCTGTTCAGCAGCCCCCATGTGTCTTTCCTTTCTCACTGAAGAGAAGAAGCAAGCCAACTGCCACTCCTTGGGCCAAGCGGCTCCACATTCTCCGGTCAGAGGGAACAAAATTAAGCGTAGAGAGATATGTTTAGTCCTGCCCTGCCATGGGAGGGGTAGAGAAAAGTGGGTTTGAGATCGATAAAAGCCTTACTCTTTAGGAAGATCAAGCCTCCATGTGTCACGTTTTTGCCCTCCCCCCCCCAAAAAAACAGAGTGCTCCGGGGGTCAGGGAGTGCAAAACCTTCTTTTAAAAAATTTACCCCTTCAAAATCTTGGTGCGTCTTATACTCTGGTGCATCTTATACTCCAAAAATGTGGTGGGTATTTATTTTTTAAATCATCTTTTGCATATTGCTTAGAGCATAGGACACTCATATGGTCAAGCTTTTCTCTAATACTGCTTTTGCAGTATCTTACAATATATTTTTTTAAAAACATATAACACATTTTAGACTAAATCATGTGCAATTCTATTACTGAAGGGTTGTTGTTGTTGTTGTTTTGCTATCTTATGGTAATTTTAAGACCAGGCTTACCTGTTAGACCACTAGGATATTGACATGGCACTGGAGAAAATGAAGAAGATGCTCCTCCGAAAGGTGTCATACCTGATGACCCACCAAAAGGAGTCATGGAATGGCTATTAAAATTAATCGATGGTCCTTTTACTACAGGTGACTGATTAGCTTGGGTTGAATCAGATCCATAATTGCTGACAGGGGAAGTAATTGTATCTGGAGTATTCTCAGTTCTATATTTCATGGTGGGACTTTTGTCTTCCTTGCTCTTAATGCACCCCATGGTCTTTTCTGTAGAGAAAACAATATTATTGCATGTGAATATTTCATTATTGTTTAAACTGTTCACTAAATATTTATAACAATTTAGAGATCTTTTTAGATTGAAACATATTTATTCTTTAAAACAAAAATTTTAAACATTGAATTAATATTCTATGGAATATTAGTTATATTCAATAGATTTTATAATCATACTACTTTATTACAGCCAAAACTCAGAAACATAAATTATATTAAAGATATGTTACAAGGGTGCTTTTCAAAAGGCCACTGGTTTTTTTCCTTGAAAATGTTTCATTTATCATCCAAGAAGCTTCTTCAGTTCTGACTGAATAGTGGGGAAGCTAAATATAATAAACTAAAACAAAACATGGATAACATCAAACTGCTCAGCGAATAAACTGAGCAATAACTTGCATTAACATGATGCTTAATTTCCATTGCTACTGTTCAGTATCTTAATACAATCCAGTTGTAGATGATTTGAAATACAAAAGAAGTTAATATAATTATTCCAGCATTATATAGGTATTATAGATACCAGTAAAATAACAGATGTTGGACTTTTCAATATCCCTGGTTCTGCTTGGGAAACATGTTTCTCGTTAAAAAAAATCTTAGAATAATTTCCCTGTTATACTGTTAAGGCCAGATATTATCCCAGCTCAGGAGAAATCTTTCTTTATCTTAAGAAAAATAAGTAAGGAGAAAAAAAATGGCTGTTGACCAAAAAACCTTTGCCATTCAAATTCTCAAGTCTTTATTTTCATATTATTTACACTTTGTAGAAATGTTACTTGGCATGGTTCTACCCTAATAATCAGTATATAAGTCCTGCTAATTAACCACGTTATTAGAGTTTGTTCTACATACACAGTAATATTATTTCAGATTGATGGAAAATCATCATCCATTAGTATTAGAAGTAAACCTGAGAGAAAGACCTGAAGCTTTAGTAAGTAGTTTAACATCAGTCTTCATGCCTTGCTTTCAATTTTAGGTATTTGTGTTTCTAATCAAAGAAGAGCATTAGCTGTTACTTTGAGTCTAATGAGTAAAAACCTTAGAAATTTAGTCTGAAGTATTTCAAAAAAATTATTTCCAACATAGAGACCCACCTCAATTCTGCATAATACTTGGGCCAAGGTTTCCCATTTGGAAAAAAAACCCAACACCAACCCAAACCCAATAATAAATAATTCCTGTTGAAGATTTTGATACTAGTGCCCACCCCTCCAGACCCCCCAGTTTCCCTCAGGACAGAAAATCACTTCCAAGAATGTAAACGTATGAACCTGTTTAATGGATTTCTCTCCATATTCCATCTTTGTATTTTGTCTTTGCTGGAAAATTTTATATTTTAATCCATTGAAATTGGAATAGTTTTGGTAATCTCTTTTTTCTTTTTGCTCTCTAAAGCACAAAATGATATATGGTTTGATAATGCCACAGGCCAACTAGACCAATGCTGAAAATGACAGGCCTGAAGGTAATTAAATTGAATCCAGGCACTGATTTGAATTATATGCTGAATTAGAATTATATAATTAAAAATTAAATTAGCATTTGTGAGTCAAGCTCTTCTAATGCAATAGTTTTCTTTCAATAGGGGAAACATTACATATATGAAAATTTAAAAAGACAGCTTGCAGGAGAACTCATAAAACATAAAAAGTAAAAGATTCCTATACGGTACCTTTGTGGATTATCACCAACATGTACACTGATATATAACTAATAGATAAATAGATCTATTAGATAAATTTTTAAGACACAAAATTTTAAAAAAGCACTGCATTTCAAATAAGATAACTAGAAGAGTTATCTTTATCTAGCAGCTACCAGACTGCCAAGGAGCTACATGAATTTTCCTCATTACTTTACACATTTACATCAGAAGTTAAGTATTGTTAAGTTTCTTAGAAAGCAAAGAATACACATTTGAATTCTACCAAAGACTGAAAGTTTTTAGTAGAAGAAATATTGCATTTGTATGTATGTATGTATGTATGTATGTATGTATGTATGTATGTATGTATGTATGTATGTATGTATGTATGTATGTTTCGGCGAGGTCTCACT